ATGTTCTTGTGGATTACTATTAATTTAAAAGATAGAATAAGTAATTTGTTTTAGTACTCTGTTAAATTATTTTTTGATGGTATAAATTTCTTCTCTATATCATCAATGGTTTATAAATATTTCAACAACCATTTTGATTTTTTTATTTCTGGTTCTTTTTCTTTTGCTAAAGGACACTTTTATAGTCATATTATCTTTGAGCAAGAAACATGAGTCAAATATGTAATTATAATAAGTATAGGGATTTACGAAATCCTTGTGATCTTTAATGTTGCTAGAAGTAGCATTAAATGCAATCTCTACATATAAACTGTTACAAATATTAATTATTAATCTAAAAAGTTTTGCATAACTAATGAAGTAATGCATTATTTCAATATTGAACATTGTACTACTGTAGTTCATTTTACTTGTCATATTTATTTTTCACCTCTTAAAAAAGATTAATTAAAAGGTTACTTAACTAAATTATTATTATATAATCTTGATGTATTAATCTATGTATTAATTATTAAAAATATTATCAAATTTTTTTGCAGTCGAGAGATTTCCTAATGAGGAGGACTTGCGTCTGATCAAATTTTTACCTATTGAAAAAGATTAATTGAAAGGTTACTTAACTAAATTATTATTATATAATGTGTTATAATCTAAGCCATCTTTGTTCATACAGGGCATATGATCTGATCAAATTTGGAAAGAGTACCAAAACTTGAAAGGAGATATTGTTATATTCTTCATTATATGCAGTAGTAACCCACAAAATGATTTCTCAAGAGAAAAAAGAGAACATGAAGTCTAATTTGGTTTTCTTATAGTAGCAGTTTTATCCACGCACAATCTGGAGAGTAGTTAACTGACATATTACTTAATTTTGAAATAAAAGAACTAAGAGAACATTAAAGTGTGTAACAAACATGAACTCCACTTGGAGCTTGAAGTCTACCGCAATATTTTAGTAGAAAGAGAAAGAGACTATGTATTGGAATTCTTACCTCCTTAATTCTATAAAGGAACACGTAATTACTACTTGTTCCTCACTATTTGAAGTTAACAGTAAACAAAATAACTCGTTCAAAACTTCGTATTATTTATAGTACCTTCAAATAACACAACAATTATACAATTAAGTAACCTAAGGAATTATAAACTCTAATCCCTAACTACCCAAGACAAAAACCCCCAACGGTTTAGGTCTTCTATCGTTCTTCAAGTTCCTCAAACTTGTTAAACGAAACCTACTCACAAACACTTGATTATATTAAAAAACTCTTGACTACAATCGTACAATATTTCTCTCAACTCACAGCACTCCCCAAGTAAATATCAAAACCCTCACAAAACTCTTGATCGTGTTTTGATTTTTCTCTCATTGTAAGTGCGCAAGTTTCTCCAAAGAAACTATTGTCCTATTTATAGATCACTCTTCCTCAAAGTCTTGTTCAACTCGAACTAGTCTTCACCGCCTTAAAAGCATTGTTCAACTCAAACTTGATTTGGACTCCTATTTGCACTTGTCTTCTTTTAGAAAAACTTACGCGTAGTAGTTTTCCTTAATTGATTAAGAAAACTTCCTTAACCTTGAACTCCTCCTTCTATACGTTTTAGATAAAACACATTGTATCATGTATGCACAACCTCTTCTATGCACTTTGACAGTCTTCAAAACTTAGAAGCTCATAACAAATTGCCGTTTTTTTATTATGGCAAATTTTTCAAGCTTGGTACTGAAATCTGCTTGCATTGAACATGTAAACACATATGCATGCTTCTCTGCCCCCTTTTAACATCAGGCAAAAAATATGGAAATAAAGACATATCCATGCTGCAAGCAATAATATCACAACAAACTATAACAAAAAAACACACCAAACTGAGTCATTAGTTACATCACAGATTAGAAACAAAAACCATTTTCCAGAAAAACAAAAATGCCTACTAAGGACTTGAAAAAGTGAGGACCCAAAACACAAGACATAGCACAAACAAGCGGGTATTTAGACAGAAGGTGGTAAAGCAAAGGACAAGGAAGGGGAGCCTTTGGTTAGTATTTCATAGATATGCTTTAGACAATCGGAATTGGATGATCTCTCAGTATTCAGCGCAACCTGAGTTTGAGCAAGCTCCTCTTTTAGCCTTGAATTTTCTTCAGCCAATCTAGCATGCTCCAATCCATAATCAATTTGCAACTGATCTATTGCAGTAGAGTGAGAAACCTGTAGTGTAGTAATTTCCTCATTCTTAGCAGTCAGCGAGGCTCTCAACCGTTGCATAGGTGCATCTGCCCCTCTTGAAGTCGTAGGTATAACAACATGATCAACTACCCCCAACACATCCTTGATAGTCTGTTCTTGCCATTCCTCGATAGGGACCTGAAAATACTCAAAGATATCTCCTAGCCAAAATCCATAGCCAAGCCCATGCTCTGTGCTATCATCCACGCAGATCCTATTAATGTGACAAAGGATCAATTTAGGTAGATTAATTTGAACCTGTGAAATCAGTAACTCCATGAGTGTGAGATCCAAATAGTTTGCCTCCGTATGTTTCTGCTTCCTAGGGAGAATAATTTTGTGTACCACATCAAAGAGTGGCTTATGTAGAGGAAGCATGGTTCCTTTGTCCACCCTAGTGTAGTTTTCTTAAGTAGGATCATTCGCAAACCGACGAGAAATCTCAAGGGTTGATGATAGACCCTCTAAGGGAGGCCAACTACGTTTGACATAATGACACCATCCCAAGTTAGGTACCCCCAATATTTTTTCCAAAATTTCAATTTTTAATGTGAACGATACACCACCAACACTACTCGAAATAGAAGAGACAGACCCCAACTAACATTTTATATAGAATTCCCTAGTTGCTTTCCTAGCTATCTCACGATGTCGATTACCCTGAAGAACCAACGTAGTCCAGCCCTGTGCATTCATCAAAGTAAGCAGTTCACCCATTTCATTCCCCCCAAACCATTAATCGACCTACCACGAATCACACTTTTTTTCTTAAACGACTTTATCCGATCCTAATGTTTTTTCCTTTCAATTTCAAGATCACTATCTCCATTCTCTATGTGACCAGAGTCCTTTGTTTTAGATGCATTTCCTTTTCTTTTTCTACTCTTCTTGGATTCAACTATGTTAACATCAATCTCTATAGATTTTAGGAGCGAGACTAATGAAGAAGAATGGGTTTCCTTGAAGAGTGAGAAAGAAAAGGGTTTTTGATTTTTGAGAATGGTTACACAGAAGTGAAAGGGGTTTTGGAGAAGAGGAACATGTTGATTTGATGGAGAAGTCAGATTGATTTGATTTTGGAGGTTTTAAAAAAAATATCCTTCTGATAGGTATTTAACGCGGGAACGGGTACCAGTGTACAAGTCTTAATATTTTGGTCTCACTTAAATAAGTATAGTAGATATGCCTTTTAGTGTAGGATGATGATTTTTGAAGTCCAAATCCTTGAGCTCCTAATTACCTGAGAATGATGAGTTCGTTAGTTACAGTTCGTTATGAGTATTAAAAACTTTTAGCATAATAGTACATAATCAAGTGTCATAGTTTACTCTCGTAAGTAGAGATACTCAGGTGATCTTCATCATTCCTAATTCCAACCCGTTCCTTTCAAAGTGTTCCCTTGCTAATGCCTTTGTGAAAATGTCTGCAATTTGTTGTTCAGTGGCACAAAAATTCATGGAAATTTTCCCCTTTTCTACATTGTCCCTTAAAAAATAATGACGAATATCTATGTGTTTAGTTCTCTTATGTTGGACAGGATTCTTTGCAATGTTAACTGCGCTTGTATTATCATTAAAAATCGAGACACTTAATATTAAGACCAAAATCACTGAGTTGTTGTTTGATCCATAGTGGTTGAGTATAACACGAGGCTGCTGCTACATATTCAGCTTCCGCGGTGGATAGTGCGACTGAGTTATGTTTCTTTGATCCCCATGAAATTAAACATGAACCTAGAAAGTGAGTCATACCTATGGTACTTTTCTATCTGCAAGATAACCAGCATAATTCGCATTAGCATATCCTATTAATTCGAAATTGCTCCCTTTTAGATACCATAGTCCTAAATCAGTGGTTCCTTTTAACAGCTTGAAGGTGAGATTCCTTAGGGTGGTTTGAAATCGAGCACACAAGCCCACGCTAAACCCAATATCAGGCCTGTTGGCAGTAAGATACAAAAGTGAACCAATCATACCTCTATATAATTTTTGCTCTACAGCAGAACCTGTTCCTTCGAGGTCTAACTTAGTGGCTGTGACTATTGAAGTGTCTATTTGTTTGGCGTCTTCCATTTTGAATCTTTGAAGCAATTCTTTGACATATTTTTGCTGGTGAATTAATGTACCTATAGATGTTTTCTTTATCTGAAGCCCCAAAAAGTAATTTAACTCTCCAATCATGCTCATCTCAAACTCATTGCTCATAAGGTTGGCAAATTCGTTTGTGAGTGCTTTGTTTGTTGCTCCAAAGATGATGTCGTCAATGTATACTTGTAAAATTAGTAGA